TATGTATATGTATGTGTGTATATATATATATATATATATATATATATATATATATATATATATATATATATATATATATATGTGTGTGTGTGTGTGTGTGTGTATATATATGTATATATGTATGTATGTGTGTGTGTGTGTGTATATATATGTATATATGTATGTATATGTGTGTGTGTGTGTATATATATGTATATATGTATGTATATATGTGTGTGTATATATATATATGTATATATGTATGTATATATATCTATATCTATATCTATATCTATCTATCTCTATATATACATATATATATATATATATATATATATATATATATATATATATATATATATATATATATATATATGTATATATATAGATAGATAGATATAGATATATATACATTGTGCGTGTGTGTGTGAAATGCTCTGAGTGACGAAACATGAGAAAGTCTGGTCCGGGAATGCACATTCATGTAAAGAGGCAAAATGACCTTGAGATTAACATAATCACCGGCGATTAAAGGATTGCAGATGGTGGACAGATCCATTAGGGCGATCTTTATCTCTCTCTCTCTCTCTCTCTCTCTCTCTCTCTCTCTCTCTCTCTCTCTCTCTCTCATTTTTCTCTTGCTTTCTCCCTCTTTATGTTCTATGCATCTCTTTCTCGTGTCTCTACGTTGTCATTTGTCTCTCCGCTATCTCGTAAATCATTTCTCATTTTCTTCTCCTTTACTTTTCTTTCTTCTCTCCATCTTCCTTTTCCTTGTTTTTATCTCCCCTAACCAGCTTTGCCCCCCCCCCCTGCGCCATCAGCAAAAACAAACATCACATTGGCCTGGGGGAGGGGTATGGGGAATGGTGGGGGGAGGAGGGAAGCGAAGGGGGGGACAGGGGGAAGGTGGAGGAGAGGGGAGGGGACAGGGAGAGGGTGGGGGTGAGGGGCGAGAGGGAGGGGACAGGGGGAAGGAGGGGGTGAGGGGAGGGCGGCTGCATGCGGCGTGCTTTTTGCCCCCGACGATGAAAGTGAATGGATTGCCGGCAATTACCTCCTCCTGGCGGTGCATGCGTGCTGTGTCCGGCATTTCGTTCAGATCTTGCTTCTGCCGCTCCGGTTTTGCGCGAGGGGGACTATTGTTGAATTTCTTGTTTTCCCTTTTTATTTGTTTCTTGGTATTCATTTTCTACTCTTTTGTTTTGCTCTTGCGAGAGGTAACTTCAACGTGCTTGTTTTGGGTTGGTTGGGATAACCCCTGTCTCTCTCTCTCTCTCTCTCTCTCTCTCTCTCTCTCTCTCTCTCTCTCTCTCTCTCTCTCTCTCTCTCTCTCTCTCTCTCTCATTCTCTCTCCCTCCCTCCCTCCCTCCCTCCCTCCTTCCCTCCATCCTTCCCTCCCTCTCCCTCTTTCCCTCTTTTTTGTCTTCATGGCCCCCATACCTTTTTCTTCTTTTTTTAACCTTCTCATTTCCTCACTCCTTGGATGAGGAAGTTGGTGGCAATTACTTCTCCCCCCCCCCTCCCCCCAGCTCCCCCCCCCCCCCCGTCCCTTTCCCCACGGATTGTAAGACCTACCTACCTACCTTATTTCATGTTCGCCGTGGCAACCGAGAGAGAAGAGAAAAAATGAGGGAGGGAAGAAATAAGAAATAAGAGAGAGAAAGAGAAAGAAAGAAAATTTGAGAGAGGAAAGAGGAGAGAGAAAAAATAGAGAGGGAGAGAGAGACTGGGAGTATGGGAGGGAGGGAACCAGTGATTGGGAGAGGGGGCAGAAAAAGAGAAGGAAAATATGAAAGTCTGACTTTGAAGGATACACACGCGCGCATTTTTGTCATTTCTGCCATTTTTGCGGCGCTGGGAAAGCCGTGATTGATCCTTCCATTATGAGGCGTTTTTGCCGGATACTTCTAATGACTCCGCCTCGAAGGTCGGCCGGATCAGCTGGTTCACAGATGGCTGCGGAGCCTTTGAAGCGATCCAGCTGTGACACTTCGCCTTTGTTGGGAGAGATACAAAGTAGAAACCGTGAGAGAGAGGGGGGAGGAAAGCACGGAGAGACACACAGACACAGAGTGAGATATCTGTGTCTTACCATCTCGTATTTATTTAGCGCATTTTTTGACTCTGCATTCACCTCCTAGAACGACACAACGTACTTTCGCCGTGTTGGAATGGTTGTGCACTTCTATAATACAGAGACAGAGAGAGAAAGAAATTGGATCACGTTAAAACATTGTATTCACGTGCAGTATTATTGTTAACGCTGAAGTTATATTATTATCACCAATTATATTTTAATTTTCCAGCTGAACCTTGTGTCTCAGTGTATCGGTCTGTGTTTATTTTGACTATCGATTTACCAGTGTATATCTAGCTTTTTTCCTCTCTCTTTCATTAATTCTCTGGGCCTGTGTGGTTTTGATTTCTTTTTGAAAACAAGCCTCGTTTTGTGTATCCGGGACACATTTGCTCATGTCACCCGAGCAGACAGCGGGTTGTAACGTTGATATTCTTAATCCAACGAGTGTTTGTTTTGACACTCAGATGACAGAAGGGCATTAGGCATTGGGCATGAATGAGTGCCTCGGTTATGACGTTTATGAGGTTTAGTGGCAGTCTGTAAAATCTTTCGTTGACTCGCGAATTCCGCTCAAGGGAGGCGCGGTAGGCCTAGCGCGACCTCACCCACTCGCTCGGTATGTGTCGCTGTCTGTATCCCAGGTCTCATTTTTGCCTGTTTTTTGTCAGTCATTGGGGAACTCTTCCTTTTGTGAGGAGTAGGGACTTTATCCGAGGGTCAAGGAGCCTCGTCCGTAAGCCACTTGAATGATTAATTTCTAGGAATGGAAGTGTATTTACTCGGAATTAGCCAAGAGTTAATTAAACTCATATAGCATAAACGATATGCGCTTCGCAAAGGAACGCGTCATTAGTTTCATTATTTTATATATTGGCATTGCGAAAACTGGTTTATGAGAGCGGTGATTGCAGTGCAGATGTCGCGTGTGGCAAGACATTTCATCAGCGCCGGGTCTTGCTGGCGCGATCATTGGCAAAAGCGATATTGAAACAGCGTTTGATTGTTATAATTGCGCTCGCAACAGCGAGTCAGCGCTGTGTCATTAGATGAATAAATATATTTGTATTCTAACGGTGAGATAACAACGGGTTTTATTATGATTGCGGTTGTGTAAAGGTTCAAGGAGTAAAGGAGAGGGGGCGGAGTCGCACTTGGGGGAGAGACGTATACTAGTGGGGGAGGTCGCACTTGGGTGTAGGTTCGAGCGGTTCTTCGAGGAACAGATATTAGCACTGGTTCGCGGGAGGCTCCGAAGGGGCAACAGAGGCGACGCCGTCACATTGCGCTGAGGTCAGAGGTCATGGGGGTACAGATGAATGTGCTCGTTGGAGGCTGGGTGCGTAGTGTGCTTTTTTGTTATACAATACCATTGTTCTTTTTAAGATTCGATGCTTTACCTTTTTGTTTTGCCATGTGCATGCGCGACTTTTCTTGGCGTGCATATTCGTGCTAAGCCTTCGCACCAGGTTTGGCTGCGCACTTGCAATTAACGTGCGGCGCGAGGCAGAAGACGCCGTCTGAATCCCGTGGAGTTTAGCCGGGCGAGGTGAGACTCCCGCTTCGTAAAGTTATTAATATAATGTTTTGCATCATTGCGTGTTCTCCAGGTCAATTAAAGCTGATATGTTTGTTATCGATGACTAATGGTTGGGCGATTTGCTGTGACAGATAACGAGATAGCGGTGGCGGCGAGAGACGGCTCGATTCGGTTGACCGGTGGCTGAAAAATCTCTTGGATTCGCATGAGTGCAAATTAACAGAGAAAGTGAAACGGTAATGAATGGAAAGCCTCTTTGCAGTGAATGAAATTCTATAAAGTTCCTGAGGCAGAAAGATATGAGAAATTTGACACAATCAGAGATAACGATAAGGATATTGGCATTGCGATATTCGAGAATTCCGCGACGAGATAAGACGTTATTCCAAGAAGTAGACGGGATTTTGAAAGAAGCAAAGCGAAGCGAAATCGAGCAAGAGAGCCTCTGCCGAGCGACCTTCGCAGTCCACAAGCGCGAAAACCGTGTCCACAATGGTAAGAAAAAATAGTAACAAAACAAAACAATTTTTCCTTAACAATTTTGGTATGATGAAAAAAATCCACAGCACGTAAATAACCAAGTGTTTATGTCACCGACATAAAAATAAAATAAATGAATTAAAAGAAAGGTTTGATAAGGACAAATTTTGTGTTGGTTTTCCCCACCGTCGGCACAGCAGTAGAGATTCTCCCGTCGGAATGCCGCGACTTTTATACATTGTCGGAAATGTGGGATTATTATAAGCGCTGTTCGATGGCTCGTGCGTCCCGGCCTCTCTTCTGCAGGGAAATGCCGAGGGAGATAAAGTATTGTTGGCGGTGACTCGGACATCGAAGGCTGGGGTTTGGCCGGTCTGTCACGAGGGACGTTCGGCGTCTGGGCGTCTGTTGATCCGAGTGTCGATGGGCTGAAGGTTTATTTTCGAGGTGGGTGCGATGTATCCTTACAAGATTTGTCAGAGCTGATGGCTAGCTACGCGGCCGCTGGGGTAGGCTAGGTAGGCCCGAGTGCTTGGCAGAAGGCGGGAGGGGAGGGAAGGGGAGGGGAGAGGAGGGGACGCCAATGAGTAGCTCAGTAGCCACTATTGAGGGGGAAGGGAGGTAAAGAGAGAGGGAAAGGGGGGGAGATGGGAATGAGGGATGGATGTATGTGAGTAGGGACGAGGGGGGTCAAGAGGGAGGGAGGGCAGAGGGGGAGCGCGGGGGGAGGGGAGGAGCGGCATCGGGCGGGTGTTGGCGAAGGGAGGGAAGGAGAGGGAGTCAGTGGTCGTTGTGACGCGGTCGGGCGAGGACGCGAACTGCATCTCTCTCTCTCGCTCCGTCGCCATCCGCTCGCGAGAGAGTTTGCGATTCGCGCGGGACATTCTCTTCTATCGCCGCGCCGTGTAAGCTTTTTGTAGAAATCCTGTCCATGCCGGCGATGTTTTGGAACTGCGTGGCTGCCGTGGTTCGAAGAGCTTGGGAATACCGATAGGATTATAGTCATAGTTTTGCTGTGAAAGAACCCAGGTGTGTGGACTCAGCGGCGGATTAGCCAATGTGTGTTCCAGCCCGTGACGTTTGGAGTTGACACCGAGTGATGTGTGACTACATGCGTGTGTGCACATCCGAGTGAACGAGTGAAGCTAACGCACATAACACACACACACGTTAAACTTTAGTGGTGGGCTCTGGGGCGACCCTTTCAAAGCCCGAAACAGTGATTCAGTCTGAAAACTGATAAGTGACTGGAAGAGAGTGAATGAGTGGACATCGCCGAGTCATCGTTTGAACGCTGAAATTGCGCAGAAAAGTGACAGAAATAGAAGAAAAATAATAAAAAAGAAAATCGCGTGTGTCACCTGGACTCTGCGCCATCATGGTAATGTTGATAACTCTTAGGTGACACTGCGGCATGTGACACCGACCTTGTGTCACCGCCGTGTCATGTTGTGAAGTAAAGGGTAGAATTCGTGTGCATTTAATCAGGATGTTTAGGAAAAGAAAGGGGCGGAAGTGACACTAAAAAGTAAAATTTATTTCTTTTTATTTCAGGGGTTGATTATTTCATTTCATTTACAATCCATTGTAGGTTCACAGGGATTGAACATTTATAAGTATAGTGCAAGGATAGGGCCAGCAGTGGAAAAGCGAGTGTGTGACCTTTGCCAAAATGACAGGCACGCGAGGCCATGCACCGAGGCAGCCTCCGGTCCATATGTTTGGAAGTATTGCGAACGGGACGGGGGGGGGGTAGGATGTATTATAAGCTTTGTGATTACCATAGGCCTACTGGGACTGGCCGTGGATGTGTTTGTTTATAGTTGGATGACTCTTATTTTTTACTTTCTAAAGTATTGGTGGTGTATTTTTTTTATTTAATCTCTTATCGACAATGAATACCAACATTCATGCGTCACTTCAGTGTGCTGACGTAAAAGAAGCAGCAGGTTATTGCATTGCAAGCACGTTAGCTATGCAACACTGCAAATATCTGTGGCGGATTGCTTGTTGCTTAATAAAGTAAGAAAAGTTAGAGCATGGCAGAGACAATGTAGAGACGGGGTAAGAGAGAAAATGTGAGGGGGAGAAAGTAAGAGGGAGCGAGAGAGAGAGAGAGAGAGAGAGAGAGAGAGAGAGAGAGAGAGAGAGAGAGAGAGAGAGAGAGAGAGAGAGAGAGAGAGAGAGAGAGATTGCGAAACAGGCAGACACGGAGAGGCTGCGCGATGCAGCTATCAGGACCATCTTCAAAGCTTATCGTATTTACGTAATGAAACTCCATTGTCTTTTTAACAGATTAGTTTTCCAAGCAGCTCTATAAGCACTTGATAAGCACGGCTGAACTAGTTTCATGTTGGCCGCAGAAAATGGGTCAGAAAAGATTGTGAACTTCGCCATTAACTTCAAGATTAACTTCCGGTTTGAACTTCAAATTGCAGTTGATAAAAAACTGATGAGAGAGAGAGAGGGAAAGAGAGAGCGATAGGCAGAAAGAGAAAAGATAGGGCTATTAAAAGAGAGAGAGAGAGGGAAAGAGAGAGCGATAGGCAGAAAGAGAAAAGATAGGGCTATTACAAGAGAGAGAGAGAGAGAGAGAGAGAGAGAGAGAGAGAGAGAGAGAGAGAGAGAGAGAGAGAGAGAGAGAGAGAGAGAGAGAGAGAGAGAGAGAGATAAATGTGGACAGACAGACCACCGTATCGATTTTGCAATGAAAATTTTATCGTCTTTTTAAAGGTTAGCGCGATTGACAGACGCACTTATCCTATCCCTCCCCCTTCACTCCCTCCCCCCTCTCTCCTTTCTCCACCATTTTCCTCTTCCCCCTTTCCCTCCCCTTCCCCCTTTTGCTGAGGGCGGAGGGGAAGGGAGGGGGTTACTTGGAAGGGGAACACTGACCTATACGAATGTCATGGGGAAACCCTTGTGACTAAGCCCGGCTGGTGGTTTTATGCCTCGAGGTAGGCCTATCATGAGAGTCTGAAATGCGAAGGTAATTGTGTCAGGTGAGAGAAGGAGAGAGAAATAAGGATGGCAAGAGGGGGATGAAAAGAAGGAGGCGGATTATCAAATATTCAATGGTGGTTTTCGGCACATTTAACGTTGCGAATGTTTTCCTTCCTTTATCGGAAAGGCTTCATCGGGCTGTGCGTCATCGGCTTTGGCTTCGGATTCGCAATGCAAGAACGGGATTGACAGCGCCGCCTCAGCATTCCCGTTGATAAGGAAGTCGGGGATTAGAACGTTGATGACGTCATAGTTCTAGGCAATTTTATAAGGAATTCGAGAGTAGATGTGTTAGCTTTTGGTTGCTTGGTTGCATTTTCACGATGTGGGGCAGGCTTTTTTTTTAACTGCGGCCTCTTCATGATTTACCTTCCTTTTCCTGCCCTTTTTCTCCTGCCTTATTATCCTCAGCCTTCCCTCTTCCTCTACCTCCTCTAATCCTCCACCTTTTTATTCTCTTTTCCCCTCCTCCCCACCCTACCTTTTTCCTCCACCTCTCTATTCATTTTTTCCCATAATCCTCCTCCTCTTCCTCCTCCTCTTCCTCCTCCTCCTCCTCCTCCTCCTCCTCCTCCTCCTCCTCCTATTCCCCTTTCCTCCCCTTTCCTTCCCTTTCCTTCGCCACCTCCAGTCCCACCGCACCTGCAGCGACATCTCCCAGGACACTTCTCGCCGCGGAGAACCCGATATGTCGGTCGTCCTGTCGGGTTTGCGAGTCGGACCTGCCCCTTTCCCTCCCCGCACCACCCTTTTCCTCTCCTCCTCCTCTTCTTCGTCCTCCTCCTCCTCCTCCTCCTCCTCCTCCTCCTCCTGTTTTTTTTCGCCATCATCGTGTTCTTCGTCCTTATCTTTAACATCCCCTCCTCCTTTTCCTTTCTTCCTACTCGCCTTCCCTTTTCTTCCTGGTCGCACACAATGCCCTGCCTCCTTATGCTGGTTGAGTGCGGGCCGGCCGGACCCTCGGAGGACCTGCCCCGCCTCCCTGTGCACGGGGGGAGGGGGAGGGGCGAAGAGAAAGAGAAAGGACACACCAATTATAGAGGGGGTAATTCGATCTCTCTCTCTCTCTCTCTCTCTCTCTCATTCTCTCTCTCTCTCTCTCTCTCTCTCTCTCTCTCTCTCTCTCTCTCTCTCTCTCTCTCTCTCTCTCTCTCTCTCTCTCTCTCTCTCTCTCTTACTCTCCCTCCCTCTCTCTCCCTCCCCCTCCCCCTCCCCCTCCCCCTCCTTTCCTTTCTTCCACCTTTCTTTGTATCTTACTCTTTTTCCTTCGGGTTATTTCGTTCAGTCTTGTCCAGCTTTTCTCCTCGATACGCCCTCCTCTTTTCTCTTATCATTTTTTTTCATGCCTATTCTCACCTCTTCGCTTTTCCATTCTCTCTCTCCGTCTCTCCCCTTCCCTCCCTTCCTCTCCGTCCTGCTCTCCCCTTTTCGCCCTTCCCTCCTTTCCTCTCCGTCCTTCTTTCCCCTTTTCGCCCTTCCCTCCCTTCCTCTCCGTCCTTCTCTCCCCTTTTCTCCCTTCCCTCCCATCTCTCCCCTTTCCTCCCTTCCTCTCCGTCCTGCTCTCCCCTTTCCTCCCTTCCCTCCCTTCCTCTCCGTCCTTCTCTCCCTCCCTCAGACCACGTTATCCGGGTTGCCTGCGTCTCCTGTTTCTCGAGGGCCGATTGAGTACTTTTTGCTTTCTGTTTGCTCCGCGTCGACGTTCCTTCTATTGTCGACATTTTAGTTGAGTGATTTAATTGTTATAAAATGGGCCCGACGTCTAAGATGTTGGGCCGATGGGAAGCCTATTCGCTTGCCTTGTTTGCCGTCACCTTTCTTTCTTTCTTTTGGTTGTGTTTGAATCGGATCTCGATCCCCTCCCTGCCCCCTGCCCTCTGCCCTTACTTCCCCTCCCTGTCCCCTTCCCTCACTTCCCCTCCCGACCCTCAACACTTGGCCCCCCTCCCCCCACCTTCCGCGATATAACCCTTTTCCCACCCGATAAGCTACGCAGTATAACTAGCATTCTTTTTCCATTCACCTTATGGGGTTGTTTGTCTCACTGTGTGATATCAGGTCGGGGGATTGTGTTATCGAAGTGGTACACTGTTTGTCGATTGTGCTGGAGGGGGGTGGAAAGTGGGGGAGGAAGGGGTGTAGGAAGGGGGGGGGGGTGCATATCATGGGCCTGTGCTGATTTGCCCGTGTAGGTATGCGGTGAGTAATGATTGCTCGGGCAGGCAAGGCACTATTTGCCCGGGAGTGATTCAGGCGTGTGTTTGTCTCTCTCTCTCTTTTCCGTCTTTCTATTATTTTTTTTTCACTTTTGCTGGATTGTTTATTAGACTCGCCATTTGAGTGATATTCATGACGGGAACGGGTGGGTCGGCCGTGTTTTCTCAGCTTTTTTTTATGGCGTTGAGTAATTTTTATGGCTTTGATTCTAGAATTTCACGCGAATTTCTTATCGTCGTCTCCCCAGCGATTAGATAACCTGGCGTGGGCACAGTCTGTGGATTCCCGAGGCCGAGAGTGTCGAGGAGACTCGCCTGATCAACGTGTCCTTGTTATGCCCCGCCGTTTACCCCAGTCATTCCTGCGTTTGCGTTTGCTGCTGTGTGCTTCGAGATGTTTTTGTCGTGTTCATGCTTTTCCCATGTTTTCTCTTGTATATTTTTTGGATTTGCCCTTTGCGATATCATTTTTTCTCTCTGTTCCTCTCTCTGCATTCCTGTTGCATCGGAGAATCAGTCTGTCGATACCCAAGGAATGCGAGACGACATGCAAGAGTCTGTCGCCCTTTCTCCCATCTTGCTGAGCCCCCCCCCCCCCCCTCTCTCTCTCTCTCTCTCTCTCTCTCTCTCTCTCTCTCTCTCTCTCTCTCTCTCTCTCTCTCTCTCTCTCTCTCTCTCTCTCTCTCTCCCTCTCTCTCCCTCTCTCTCCCTCCCTCCCTCCCTCCCTCCCTCCCTCCCTCCCTCCCTCCCTCTCTCTCCCTCTCTCTCTCAAGGTAATACGTATAGAATTATCCATGTTTACACTCCGCAAGGCTTCCACAATGGCGCCGGGCTTGCTCGGCCTTGTCGGTACCCAAGAGGCGCTGGCAGAGGTCTTTATCATCGCCTATCGCCTCTGACCTTAAATGGTGTCACGGCTGATTAGCTGTACAAGGTCTCGGCGGGTTGTGTACGCTCGAGCATCGTGTACAATTGTAGGTGGTTGGGCCGCGGTGTCCCGGCGCGATGACAGATGTGTGGCCGGGGTGCCGCGGGGAGCGGGTCGTGTCCCTCGTGGGTTTGGCGCGGGGTTTCCGGGCTCTTGGCGGAGGGCTTGGCCTTATTTGGGCGGGGCTTTAGGCTGGGAGAGGCTGCGTAAAACTGATCGGCTGTGCGGGTGGTCGCG